TAGCTCTGGGCCAAAATCCTGTGTTGTTCTTACAGATACAAAGGGGGTTCCTGAGCTCCAGCAGTTGATCTTATCCACCCTTTGTGCTACGGAGGAACGTGCTGTCTTCCATTTCCTTGAACTAGAAGAGAGTGGCGATTAAAGGCTTTACTACACTGATAAGCACACTTTCCTCTCCCGGTTAGCTAAAACTTGGCCAAGTTACCTCTAAAACAGCCAGAAAGTCGATGTTTTTCTTCCCAGTTGTTCTCTGGGGGACCAGGCCGAGGATGAAAGCGCTGGAGAGCGGGGAGGGCGATTGCTGTTTACAGCTGTGCGTGCCAATGGTGTGATGCTGCATGCCACCAGTTTAGTTTGATTTATTTGGAGATCAGTGTACCTCATAGCGTCCGCAATATCATGCATGCATGAAAATTCAGACTTCTCCTTTGCTTCTCCCAATACAACAGGACTTTTCCCATTGCGGTGCAGCTCCTGCTCTGATACTAAACCTTCCAGGCAGAATTCTGCGATTCCCCAAAAGAAGTTATCCAGTGCCAAATACATCTTGGCATTAGGAAACTTTTCTTTGTACTTATTACTCTTTGAATATTGTTGTTAAATACATACAGATGGTTACATTCCTGGATCACTTATCTTCTATTTTATGATATAGGAGTTCCCCCTTAGCATCATCTGTGCTGCCTTCAGGCTGCTGAGTTTCTTCGAGCCCCTCCTGCTTTCTTTGAGAAAATCATCATCAGCTGCATTGTTGACCCAAACTGATTGCATGGTCTGCTTTGGACTTTAATAATTCTGTCAAGAATAATACCCTGGCCTCTGCTTCTCTGTAAAAACATAGGGTTTTTTTTCCTTTAAGCAGCCACGGTCAATGCTGGGAAGAAAAGAAGTGAGAAGCAAAACTTGGTGTCTGCGTGGTACTTGTGTTACACCCGCACTGCTGTTGTGAGGCTGGATCTCGAGGGTGTTCGCTGATGCTGGGAGGTACCGACATCGCCGGAGCCTTGCTGGCGCGCAGTCAGGGCCTGGGCTGCCAGCCAGCCGTCGCTAGATAGGGTTATCCCTTCCATGGCTGGAGGGCCAGTCCTTTGGCAGCTGCTTCCTTTTGAAGTGCCCGAATCTTATTAAATAACAGAGCATAGTGAGAAGTCCTCTCAGTCTGTGAAAGTAGGTGCTAGTGATAGAAGTTCTTTAGTGACTGCAGACATTGAAGGAGGGCTTATATTAGGAGTTCCTCCTTTTTGGGAAGAAACAGGGTACCACGCTCCTCATTTGTGGGCATCTGGTTTCAGATGGTTATGGGCATATTTCTGCGTGCCCAAATGTGGCTGCAGTTGCTTGCTGGGTTGGTAAAGCTATCCCAAAGCATGTGCTATTTCTGCAGCACTGCAAAGCATGAAGGCAATAATGAGGGTGTAAAGCAGGGGCAGGAACAAGGGGAACTGTGCTGCAAGCATGGCTGAGGTTAGCCCCAGGGCCCGGGCTTAGCAAGCTGCTTGCCGTGCATGCCGGCTCAGCGTGTGAACATCCATCTGGCTGCACGGGCATCGCGGGTCGTGGTCCAGCAAGTGTGAGGAGCTCACAGGAGTTCACTGCTGCCAGCACGGGGCCCCTCCATGTTGTGTGGCCATGGTACGGGGTGGTCCATGCGATGGCGAGAGGAAGCATGTCCCGTCAGGTGGGTGTTGCTGTCCGGGAGCTGCTTGATCCTCTGATCGAGGGCAGGTCTGTGGTCAGACATTTTCCTTTCAGTTTTCTAGGTCAGAGATTATTTTCTGTTTCAGGCATGTTCCACGTATCTGGGAGTTGATCTCTGATATTGCATTGGCTGCTACTTAGCTGGTCAAATTTTATCTTTAAAGGAGATCAGAGCAGGTCCAAAAGGCAGGCTTTTACCAGTGGTCTATTAAATTTGATTATTTAATTTAATTGTATCTTATCTTTTGTTGTTGCTGTCGCTATCAATTTAAGACCAGAGTTCACTGGTCAGTGAACTGACACTGGTTCAGTGTTCAAACACTGCATGCCAAGCGTGGGATGACTCTGCAAACCGCCCGCAAACAGCAAAGCGGGCGCTGAAACTCCCGTGCAGCCAGACGGATGGCACACCGGTGGTGTGCCAAAGTTTCAGCAGCTCCTGGTATGCTGGGTCTTCAGTCCTCATTTTGGAGCCTTTCAGCTGTAATTTTTCATTAGATCCTGCTAACATGTGCCGTGAGAAGATCTTGAGAGTAGCTAGATTCTCTTTATTGAGTGCTCTTGAACTGTGGTATAATATGAGCACGGCTGCTTAGTTGGTGTAGGGGATTTGACTGGTCTTTAATCTTGGAGTCTAGAGGGGAGAGAGGTTGTTTTATAACTCTCATAAATCTCCTGCTATTACTTTCAGAATTATTTTGTTCCTGCTTTGTAAGACACTGCTACCCTAAGCAGCAGAATCCCCTTTGCAGTGATGGAGAGCAAGGTGTGTCACAGAGTTTGGACCGACTTTTGTTTGTGCCCAATGTTGAAGGTGGATGATGCTTTTGTTGCATCTCCTGGTCTCAGCCCAGCTGCTTGTGTCTTGACAAGCCTTTTCTTCTAAGACTAAACAAGGATTGCAGGATTTGCTTAGTATCCCGCTGGAGACCATGTATGTCAGAAGAAGGGAGGAAGGATCCTCTTTGTGAATGTGAAAGCAGGAGTCTAATGTATTGCTGTGTATGGAGACTGGCAAAAAAATGATAGGCACTGAAGAATGATTTTGGGAACCTATGTAAGTAAGGATTTTCCCATAAAATCTGAACTTTTAATATCCCATAAATCAATTTGGGTGACTGTATGTGTATATATATTATCGATATTATATATTTTTGAAAGAACCGTTTCTTTACAAAGCTGCGTATCTATCCAGTGAACTGAAATTTAGGTAAAAATGATGCATGATATCGCTGGAGTTGAGGTTTATTTGGGGAACGTCTTTGATATTAATGGAGTCAGAGGGCTGTTCAAACACAGCTTCCTAAAGCCAGTGTAGTAAGCAGTCCAAGCAAACACGAAAGTTAATATTGAATCAAAGCTAAATATTTAATTTAAATTTTCCCTGTGAGATTGATTTGGTTTGGGTGTTTGGGTATTTTTTTTTTTTAGTGGAAAATATAGTGTCCATAAAATCAACATTTTGATAGGATTTTCCCAAGCAGTTCTAGCTTCCCTGTTTTGTATCCCATTGATAGAGATGTGTCACTTCTGGACTGGAGTTGTGTGAATAGGATGTTCTCTCATCCTTTCTCTGAAAATATTTGCTCTGCTCATCCTCACAAATTCCCAGTAGTTTAAAAAACAATTTCTCTACTTCTGCGACAAATTGCAGGCTAGGGAAACGTATGGTGATGGTGTGTGCTGTCTCTGCTTCCCCCTCACTTACCCAGAAGGTTGTTTTCCCTCGGCTCGCGTTAGTGAAGCTGCAGTTAGCATCCCTAGGAGCGGAGGTGCCAGCAGAAAGCGCTGCTACACCTTAACACTGCAGAGTCAGTCCGGCGTGGGCACCTTCTTCCCCCACTTACAGCTGCGCAGATGCTTTCTGTCCATTTGTAGCATGGCTGTTTGGCTCCTCTGTTAGATATATAGAGTTCAGCTTTCTCTTTTACTTGTATAAGATGTTATTCCCTTAAAAGGACCGGTTGGTTTGGCAGGGTTTTGCAAACCACGGGCAAATGTTGTCTGGATTAGCGGTGGTCCATACACCGTTGCTCTGGGAGCTTAGGCTTGTAGTTAGAGGTTTATTTGAATGATGTGATAGGTGTTAACGCTGGAGAGGAATCAAAGTGTTGGCAGGGTACATCGTGTGTTACCCAAGAAAAAAGAGGGAGCCTGGGCTCACCATCCTTTCTTGCAGGACCAGGAAATATTTTTCTGCTCCGCGGTGTGCACACCAAGGTGTATTAAATTGTGGGCACCTCCGTGACGAAACTCGGTGCTGCTGACGTAGAAGTCTTGCTTCTATTTCTGCCAGACCAAGGAAAGGTGGCTGTACAAGAGCAGAGAGGGTTTGAACGGTCATGTTTAGTCATTCCTCCAGAGAGCTCTCTTTTCAGAATTTCTGTTCTGCACAGATTATCGATACCCGCAAGGTGTGAAGCTCCTCTTTGCTGATTTTAACCTTGCAATTTGGGGGTGTATGGGGGGGGGTGCCTTGGTTTTGTTTGTTTGTTTTTAAAGTGAGATTTCTGTGTAACAGCCTGCCTCAAACTTCAGGGATCCTTAGCTGTGATTGGTGCTAAAAACTAGCTGGTGAATGAAAAAAACCAAAAGCAAGACCTTAATTAAAAATGTAACTAAAAATGAAAAATCTACTCACCAAAAGATAAATACCTTCTTTCAAGGACAGGTTGACTGACACTGGGATTGAATCTCTGATCCCTAAAATTATATTCTGTATCTCTATCTAATTTAGATGAAACGACAACAAGTCCTTAGGTAACAGCACTAACGGTTTCCTGTTTTCTATGGTTTAAGGCCAAAAGGTGAGTTATGTAAGAAATCAGTGTTTACCCCGGCACTGATGGTATTTTGAGGGACTGAAACAATTTCAATGGGATAAGATATAATAGGGAGGAAATACCCATATAATTCACCAAATAGATACGCATGGATCTTTTCAGAGAATTGTGTGTGTCTTAGTGTTACCCCCTGCTTCATTTATCTGACAAATTGGAACACTATTAACCATATTTTATTTTATTTTTTTCTTTAATCTCTATTTCTTCTAGCAAGGTTGAGATTGTTCAGCACTTCTAGGAAAAAGAAGGAATCAAGTTCCTTATTTTTTTATAGAGCCCTGAACGTTGAACAATTTGAGCCATGGATGCTTGATATTTTTGTAAAGTTAAGGGTGTGCATGAGAATACATACAGAGAGCTTCAAATATTATCAAATCTTGGCAAGATTTATCATGCAAAATCCCCAAAAGGGTCTTTGGCTTGAAAAACAATATTCTAATGTTTCCTTTACTTTTTCAGGTGGATTTGGAACCAGAAGGCAAAGTGTTTGTTGTCATAACTCTCACAGGCAGCTTCACAGAAGGTAAGGGAATTATTTTGGCTTGTTTCCATTAAGAGCTGGACACTGGTGTGTACTCTTGCCATCGGTTACCGAGCAGTATGTAAGCGGATGGCATTCTTCACACAGGCCATGTGCTGTTGTGCGCCGGAGATTTCTTGAGCGATGGGGGAAAACTGGAAGGGGCTGTTCGTAACAGGTCACACTGCGCGTGCCCTCTGCTCTGCTGTTGGTCTGATCTCGGTGCTTGATTTGGTTTATTTATCTGAAGTTGTCCTTCAAACGGATTGTTTTTGTCACTTGTACTTTTCATCTGGCTGCCTCTTGAAGGGCAAGCTAAGGAGCATGTAGAGCATGTTTAAAATAGAACATGTTTAAAACATCTGGGTGATTTTTATTCCATAATGTTTCCCATCTACTTCACGTACATTTCTGTTTCCTGAGTTCACTTTGCACAGGAAACTTAGAAGTTTCTTAGTGCAACAGCTGCCCTGAAAAAGTATCTGGGCAGATTTTTTTTTTCTGTAACTGTCTTTTATAGTGTCATGTTTTTAACTTCCCTGTTGTTTACTGTGGTACCAGTTATGAGCGTGGATGTGAGCTCTGCTGGAGGAACCCAGGAAATCTGGGATGGGGCTCAGAAAAAGTTTATTTTCTTCAGACCTACACCATGGTTCTTATTTGTTTTAGCTGCGGCCTGAAACTGCATTTGTTGGGGGGCATTTTCTATACAGAAGCCAAGAATCGAGGCAGGATCAGCTCCACTATCTGTTACCTGCAGCCTCCGAGAGCTCTATTTTTAACGCTTTCTCTTGTTCTGCCCCAGAAACTGATTGCTCAGCACGAAGGCTGTGCCGGGGGGTCTGGCATGGGCAGCCCACCCTGCCATGCTCTGTCTTGGACGCGAGGAGGGTGCAAGCTGGAGGGGTGCTTGCTTCAAGGGTTACAGGGGAGCTCTGCTCTCCCGCCTAGCAGTTCCCCTAGCTCACACCTTGTGCTGGGTGCCCAGGCCTGTCAATGCCTCTGCCTTTGTTTTTCAAATGCAGGTTTGAATACAAGCCTTGGGCTTTACTTGGAGACTTTTGGGGAGCCCTCTCACTCTTGCTGAGCCGGCAGCCTGATGGGTGCTGGGGCCCAGGCAGCTGCTTGATGGGGAGCTGCTGCATCAGAGGAGCTGGTGAAGCTTTTGGTTTTCTTTGTGTGGTTTATACCCCAAGAGTGCTCTGCTCCTGGCAGGATAGCTGTGGCCTTTTAAAGCATTTGAGCCCAGTCCAGTCTGTAATCCCCTGAGCCACACCTGAGGGCCCAGCAAGGGTTTGCAGGCAGATGGTGTCCTCCTCCTCTGCAGCACCCCCAGCCCTGTGGTGTGGAAGCGGTGGCAGGGTTTTGCAGACATCCTTCCCTGTGTGCAGCTGGGGCTGCCCTTACTCCTAGGGACCATGGGCAGGGCGTAATCCTGCTTGCAGGAGGTGTGTTAGGAGGGAGACGTGAACAGAAAGCGTGGCTGGCTTTGACTCCTAAGGAAATGTATGGTCTCGGAGTGATGGAGAAGACGAGGAATATCACACCCTGGCACTGCAGCAGGGCAGAGGACCAGAATTCACTTTTCCATTGAAGTTCACTTTCTGTGTAAAGCTGGGCAGGCCACGCAGCATCACTGCAACTTTCAGTTCTTTCTCTGTCAAGTAGCAATGCATGTTTTACTCTGCCCAGGTGTTAACTCTGGGGTCTGGGAACTGCTCTCACATTTATCCATGCGTAAAATGTTAACAGATCGTTTAGCCGTTCTCCTCTAGGGAGATGCTCCCTACAACTGTGCTTTGACAGGGAGACGTGAAGATTACTTTTTCAAGTTAATTTGGGAAAAGCTTTCTATTTGTAACTAGGAGAGTGCAAAGGTGTGCTAGGGAGATGTGGAAGACTTTTTTGCAGGTCCAAGGCAATGGCTCTTAGGCAGCAATGGGGGTGAAAAGGACATTAGAAATTGGCTTTAATTGCCTATGATACAGCTGACGATGGAGAGACAGTTGTATTGAGATCAAGAAACTAGAGGGCTTTTACTGACCAGCATGCCAGTTTGTATCCACACGCAAGCATGTCACGCTTGGCCATTTAAAGCAGGGTTGAGCAGGGATGGTGGGCTTGAGCATAAATCCAAAGTGTGGTTCAAATTCATGCTGGTTGCTAAGCTATTGAGACATGTTGCTAACAAGGTCTCAAAGATGAGAGATGGAGAACCCAAATGTTAGTACCACTGCTGCTTTCTGAGGAAAATGGGAAATGTTGGAAGTAGTTTATTTCTCTTTCCTCTGTCGTTACTGAGGATGTGTGGACTTATAGAACAGGAGGATCAAAGGTGGCTCTTGAGGCTTTTCTTGACTGGTTAGTCTCATGTGTGGTCACATTTGGAGTTTCCAAGAATAGACATAATCCAGGACAAGCCTGAGTGCAGATACTGACTTCTCCTAATTGTTGGATAGTGGAAGCATCCGTCAGGGAGGGGTTTCCTTCTGAAGAATGGTGAGGTCTCTTTCATAACGTCATGTTTTGTTCTATTTTTTCCTCTCATTTTTTCCTGGAAATGTGAAGGCTTAGCATTGTATTTGAAATTTAAGGTTTTGGAAGGAAGTCTGAGAATAACTCACAACTTGAAACACAAAAAGGGGCTTCCCACTTGTTTGCCCTAATCTGGAGGGCAGCCGCCACCACATCCTCACTGCTACTTATGGCTAATGCGTCAGAGACACTTGAAGGCTGTGTGTGTCTATGGGTACACAGAAAACCCAATGTTAGTTTGCATTAGACCCCATCAGGGTAGAATGTAGACCCACGTGGAGTTTCAAGAAGTATGATGTTTAGTACTTTTGATCATTTTCTTGTGACTTATAAATCGTACAATCATATAATAGTTTGGGTTGGAAGGGACCTTTAAAGGTCATCTCGTCCAAGCCCCCTGCAATGAGCAGGGACATCTTCAACTAGATCAGGTTGCTCAGAGCCCCGTCCAACCTGACCTGGAATGTTTCCAGTGGCATCCACCACCTCTCTGGGCAACCTG